GGGGGGGGGGGGGTGACCACCATCTTGGCTGCTCCCCTTTGGGCCAGCTGTGAGGCTGGGCTGCAGTGGCCATGACAACTGTTGGATCCCACTGGGAAAGCAGACTTTTATTTTTATTAAGTTTTTCTTCTCCCTGGTGTTGTGGATTTCATGGACAATGTCCAGTTTCATGATTTCCATGAAATGGCAAATTAGGTAGGTCCCTAATGATTAGTATAATGGGATTGAATGCATGGATAGCTAATTTACAGATGAAACCAAATTGGGTGGAATTGCAGACACTCTGGAGAGCAGGGCTAGGATCTGGATTGGCTTGAGTAGACCTGAAAAATGTCAGCAATCAGATGAGACTCAACAAGGACAAGCTCCAAGTAATGCACTTGGGACAGTATAATTGCAGGCACAAATACAGACTGGGGAAATACTGGCTAGACTGCAGTACTGCAAAGAAGAGCCGGGGGTTACAGAGGACTATTAGCTGAATACGAGTCAAAAGTATCTTCTTGCAAAATATGACAAGAGTATATTGGAGGAATAGGATTGTTGCTTACAAATCAAGTGAAGTGATTCTTTTGCTCTACTGAGCACTGGTGAGGCCTCACGAAGTACTATGTCCATTTTGGGTCCCACATCTAAGGAAGGATATAGACAGATTGGAAAGAGTCTTGACAAAAATTATTAGAGATCTGAGATAGAAAATTGTGAGCAAAAGCTGAAAGAACTAGGGTTATTTAGTCTTCTTTTCTTCAGACTGAGGAGGGATTTGATAATAGTCTTCAAACATCTGAAAAACTATTATATAGTAGTATGTGGCCATAGAGGACAGGACTAGTGCAATGGTCTCAAGCTGCAGCGGGGGGAATTTAGGTTGGAGATTAGGAGGACCTTTCTGACCATGAGGGTGGTCAAGCATTGGAGCAGGCTACCTAGGAAAACTGTGCAATCCCCATCTCTGGAAATTTTCAAGAGCAGGTTGGACAGATATTTGCTAGGATGGTTTAGTCAGAGATGATCCTGCCTTGAGCAGAAGGCTGAACTAAATACTCTTGCAATGTCTCTTCCAGTCATAGTTTCCTGTAATCCTGATTGCTTCTCCTTTAAACATTTATAAGCCTCAAATTTTCAATCCATACCTACATGGAGGGAGAGCAAAGAAATTTGCACACACTTTACAATTTTGAACAAGTGACACTAAGTAAGAGCAGAAGTGGATGGATACAAGGAAAGAGCTACCTGTTAAGGGAACTGATTATTCAAAACACTGTGAAAATCCTATGAAATCCTACAAAATCCCAGTGCTTTCAATTACTTTTGACATCAATGGGAATGGAGGTGTTTATCTGACATAAAGGGAACTACAACTAATGTATTTTTACCATTCATTTTCTGACTGGCTCTTTTGATAACACAATAAGGAAAACATATTATGTAACATATAACCTGGTGATGCTGTGACAGATATAATACAACCTGGCATATTGGTGCCATTAGCAACTGACAGGATTACCAGAGATTGCTCTTTAGGATTGCTCACATCAGCTATCAATTTTCAGAGATTTGTGAGGAAATTAGGAAAGTAGGCAGTTTTAAACACAAAGATAAACACATTCACCATATCCTTGGGAAACATTTTGTTGTGATGAAAGAATAGCTGTGCGAGTCCTGCATGACTTGCATGCCAAAACCAATTCATAAACAGATGTATAGCCACAGATTCACAATACCAACAGGACAATTATGAAAAGAAGTACCATAAAATAGCCTGTTTTTGCCAGTTTCTTCAACTAAAGATGTTGAATTTACTGCTGCTGTTGCTATGGACAAGATACTGAGTTAAATAAATCAGAGAGATTGTGCTGGTGACTGAAATCTTTTAGTCTTCACGGGTTTAAGCACACATTGCAAGCTTCCTTGAAGGCTAGGTCAGTGTGCCTCAATCTCATCCACAGGGATCATCAGTTAATCCCTAATGGCTACAAACAATCCTAATGCAGACATCTGTCTACTAGCAGCTAATATGAAATAAACAAGTCACTTCCTTCCGGGCACTGAATAACTAGGAGATAAATATTCACTATTTATGCCAACTGATTCATATCAGTGTCCTATAATGAAAGTTTTGTATTCCATTTCTAGTCCCTCAAGCTTTCAATTTCCTGTATAAAACTTAAATGAAAAGGCATTACTGTTACTGATATTTTTTACATTTATAACACCTTTCATCTCAAAATCCTGTATTACAGAGAATATATGGAATCATACTCTGAACTAGTTGAAGCTTCCATATGGGTCTGTAAGTGTAACCCTACGGTAGAACGTTCCAGGAACTTAATATACAAAAGACCAGATAAAATAATCCTGATATGAAATTGCAACAAGCATCTTTTGCTAATCCCACCTGCCTGTTTTTAGGTCCATATGGAATATTTCTTAAGTATATGGATAAAAAACATACAAAAATATTGAAACATCTTCAAATAGCATAAAAATGGCTGTCATCACAAAACAAAAACAAATTCCTTATGCTAGGTCTGTACCTCTTAAAATATTCATCAGATGACTGCTAATAGAACTTGAAATTATCCAAGGAAATGTATGAGCCATAAATGCAAACAGAGTTGTGTCACCATTTTAAAACACTTTTTAAAAATATTTAAAAAATGCGATTTACTTTAAGGAGGGTATATTTTGCACTTACTGTCTTTCCTTTTGTAAGACATCCTGAGTCTCATCCAAATGCAAACGCAAGGCAGAAACAGATATTGATTCATTCTCTAGAGGCTGGACTATGCTTTCAATTCTTTGCCTAGGCTTTTCCTGACATCTGCCAAGAGATCCTTCAGTCAAGGAGTCGTGCAGCTTTGGACTGAATCTTGTAGACTGATTGTCTCTTATCATGTCTTCAGTAATTTTCACATCCTAAGGAAAGGAGGAGGGAGCAAAACAAACCAAAAAAAAGTGAAGATCTGATATCCTAAGCTTGAAAAGGCAGCCATTTATGGGATAAGTAGTCTCAACATGAAGTCTAAAGGGCCTGCCATGGCATAAGCACATACTGCCACATACGAAGAATAATATCAGGGGCTCTTGCACATCAGGAAAGATGAACATAAGAACTGCTATTTACTGGGTCAGATCATAGGTCCATCTTGCCCAGTATCCCGTGTGACACAATGGCAGAGAGTAGATGCTGAAAGGGAACTGGGTATGACCAAGATTTTTTTCCACTGTTCCTCTTTCACTTGCAGCCTCCAGCATTTAAGGTATAGGAAGTTAAAATTCATAGGCTGTATCCCTAACTCCCATGCTCAATAGCTACCAATGCCCCTTTCTTCAAGCTCTATGTCCAATACCTGTCTGAATCTGACTAAACTGTCAGCTTCCACAACACCTGGTGGCAATGAGTTCCACACCTAAGTTACACGCTGTGTGAAAAGGAATTTCCTTTCATTAGTTTTTGATCCATACAAAATGTTTTTAGTAATGTCCTTGACTGGGACACTAAATCAGCTAGTACGTCAGATAGCACTCTGGGGCACTTGTACACGTGACAGGGGTTTACTCCCCAAGGTTTTATTCTATGCCCCCTAAATCGAAACAGTGAGACATAAAATAAAACCCTGAGGACTAAACCATTTCAATTTTTCTGTCACATTACAGTGAGAAGCCCAATCCTTTTTTTTTTTTTTTTGGACCCACAGCCTGCCCGTGGCTGGGAGGAGGATGAGCTACTGGCGGTCTGAGTGGATCCTGAGCTGTGGGAGACCCTGGTCCTTCCCTCCATGGCAGCAGTGCCCCCTGGGGCCACCTAGTAGGCTGGGTGTTACCCCACCTTGGAGGCAGCACCCACCCAGATTCAACTCTTACTGAGCCTGCCGGGGCTTCCAGTGCCCTGTGCACTGTCCCCACTGCCATCCTACTACCTGGGATTGCCCAAAACAGGCTGGCTTGCCCCTGGGGCAGCTCAGGGAGGCGGCAGGAAGGCAGTTGGTTATGCTGGCTGCCAGAGAAGGCAGCAGAGATGGCACACAGGGTGCAGGAAGCCTGGGTGGGCTTGGGGAAGCTTGGGCTCAGCAGTCTTCCTGTGCTCTGTGCACCATCCCCACTGCCCTTTCTGGCCACCAGTACACTCAGGCGTCCATCTGCCACCTTCCCATGCTGCCCCAAGGCAAGCCAGTCCATTCCTGGGTGGTCCCAGGCAATGGGGACAGTGCATGGGGCACTGGAAGCTACTCAGGGAAGAGTTGGATTGGGCCAGGTGCTACCTCTAAGCTGGGAAAGCACCCGGCCTGCTAGCAATCCACTTGGTCCCACTACCGTGGAGAGAAGGACAAGGCCCTCCTGCCGCTCAGGGGCTCCTTGGCCCACTGGCAGCTAGCCCCCCAGGTGCAGGCAGGCTCAGCCAAAAAAAAAAAAAAAAAGGATCGGGCCCCTTGCTCCTTCTGCCTGCTGAAGGCAAAAGTGGCAAGGGGTCTGATCCTTTTTTTCAGTGGAGCCTGCCCACCTCTCCTGTGGCCAGGGGGCAATCTGATAGCTTCATCATTGCAATTTACAAAGTTGCAAACTAAATTACATCTAGATGTAGTTTAGTTTGCAGTGATGCAGCCATTTAAACCCCCCTAAAATCTTTTATGTGTACACTGTGATCCCATTAAGCCACACAAAGTGACATTTTCATCATGGGTCCATATTAATGGCGTCATGTGTACAAGCGCCCTGTATTCCTAAATGATGTAATTAAATTAAGTCAGCTTTGGAACATCAGGTCACATCCCTGTGGAAGGATATGGAGTAAACTTAGCACAGAAAGATTGAGCCCCACTTACTCACTTCTACAGGACAGAGTTTTGAGAGCAGCAAAGTTCCATTAGCGTGGTTTAGCACATTCGCTTACAACAGTGGAAAATCATTGGAATGTAGTGATGTATTAAAGTTAGTAGGTGTTAGGTTCCCTCACTTAAAAGGGAACAACTTTGCAATGCCACAAGAGCACTTAATACATACTAAAATGCTAGAACATGGGTCTGCTTGCATATTAACTGCAATTAGTAAATTTTCAGTTAAACGTGTCACACCTGCCCTCACATGAGCGCTTTATACTTGTACATCCTTTTCAGAAATACCCAGATTTTGCTCTTAAGTGTTTGCTCCAAGTGACATTGAAGTCAATTAGGGTCTTTCTGCTAACCTCATTGGCTTTTTTATCAGGCCCATTTCTGCATGTGCAATATACATGACCCCTTTTTTTAATCCCTGGTGGCAAAGGGAGGGCATATCATTTGGTTTTTGTTTGCAAAGGATTTTTGATTCTGTGCACAAAATTGTAGATACAAATGAGGGAACATTTAAAAAAAATTCTCCCATTAAGAATACTCATTAAGAATTCCAGTCAGTTCTTAAAGTAATGTAGGTCATCTCAAGATGCAGTGCAAGTCTGGAGAAATCCATTCATATGAATTTTTTAGACTTACGCCTGAAAGTTGTATTAGATGATTCTCAAGTTAGCTAAATGGACATTCCAGTCAAACTAAAATGAACAAACGCTATAGTGCTTTAAATAGGAGATAGTACATTAACCTACACTGATGAAGATAATAAATAATTTAGAGATATGTCTTCTGCTCACTTCTTTGGGTTCCAGTCCTATGCATGTTAATCTATGTAGTTAACTTGATAAATTACATCAAGGTTGTTCAACTAAATTAAGCCAACAGGCTCTAGTGGCTGCGTCTCCCACTGCTACACAGTGAGGAAGTGACCAGGTGGGGTCTGTATACTCCTGGCACAGCCTGTGAGACAGGATGCTATATGTTTCTGAGACAGAATGCTACATGTTTCTGGCACCACCCATGCAGTGGGGCTGGTGTCCTGGGGGTCTGTGTACCAGTGGCAAAGTCCAGAGTGAAGGCAGGTAAGAGGCTGCATGCTGCTGATACAGCCCACAAGGAAGGAAGGGTTGGGATCCTGACAAAGCTGCCCTGCAGTGTATGGTCCAGGACTGTGCATTGGCATGGCAAGCAACCCTGGACCACATGGAAGTTGGACAGCTCAACATTAAATCATTTACATTTATTTCAGAAGTAAAGGTATAATATAGGGTTACCATATGTCCAGGTTTTCCTGGACATGTCATCTTTTTGGATCATCCCATCTCCGTCCAGGTGGTTTTAAAAAATATGATCAAATGTCTGGGATTTTGGTCAGCTCAGCTCTGAAGCTGTCCCCTGCACTTCCTGGCTTGCCCTAGCAAGGAGCTACTTGGGGCTGGGTGGAGCGGGGGAGGGCAACTGGAGACAAGGTGCACACACGGGGCTGGCATGCACTGGTATGCACTTGTCAGGGTGGTGGGGAGCAGCCCCACAGCTGCAGACAGGTAAGTCTGTGGGGTGGAGTTGGAGGACCAGGGCTTGGCGTCTGTTGGGGGGGGCAGGGAAAGGGGGGACAAAGGTGCCTGCCCCTCCAGGTCTGGGGTGGGGACAGGGGGCTACAAGTTAGGAGTTAGGGTTACCAGCAGGGCTGGGGGTGGCTATGGCTTGGGAGTGAAAGGCACCAGAATTGGTAGAGGCAGGGAACTGGTATCACTTTGTCCCACAATTATATACACCCGACCCCCCCTGCAACAGGTGTCCTCTTTTTTGGAACTGGAAATATGGTTATACTAAAGTATAAACATAAGTCTTTGCAGGTTTATAACCTTAGGGTGGAATCCTGGCCTTATTTAATTCAGCGGCAAACAGACTGATTGAAATAAGACTTTCATTTTTGGACTTTAACAGAAAACAACACTTACTGTTTAAATCTGAAGATGAAAGTCTGTCTTTAGGAGGTTTATACAACTCCATAGCAAACTCACATGCATAACGTCACTGAGTGCACATTATTCAAGTCAGGAAAATTACTTAACTTTTATGGACATCAACTAAGATTAAATGTACCAATTCAAAGAGATTTCTATATTTTTGTAGTTGCCTTATTTAATTAAATGCATACACTGGTAAATCAGTATTGCAAATTTAAGTTAATGAGTACTTTGTCAAAATAGTGGTTAATTCACATTTGAGTGACTAAAATTATATCTTACTTACATTACAAGATGAGTCATTATATTGGAATCCATCTAATAAAAAGGTTGCATCATTAATGCATCATTAACTTCACACCTACTAATATAAACTATGCAGGAAGAAACAGATTTTTCATTAAGCCTGGTGACTGAACAGAAAGACCTGCAGAGCCTATTCGAATCAAATCCTTTTAAGTGGGAGACAATTCTATTTTTCCAATTGCTGCAATAATCTTAAAATTGAAAAAAAAACTATAGGTCAGACTCCCCGCTGGAGTATAGTTTTCTTTAAAGTCCATGGAATTACATTAGCCAAAAATTTCCACCCTGTATCTTTATATTGACATAATAGTAGGGCTGCAGCAAATTATTCTAGTCATTAAAAGTCCACAGACATTGTCACTAATATGAAGCAATATCATTGTAAACCTAGCTCCATAAAAATCCTCCCATTCTATAGAGAAAGGCTGTCCTTTTTCTTACAGAAACTTTAATTAATGATGAAGGGCAGGAGGAATGTTGAAAGGCCAGGACTATGACTAGGTACTTCTCATTTTCATCTTTGCCTGCATCCACAAATCAGTAAAGACTGTTTAACAATACCTTTGGACACCTTGAAATCCACACTGCATTTTGGAAGAGGGTACATAAGGGTTGGAGGAACCCAAAATGACTTCAAATAATATTACTGACCTAACAGACTACCTCTCTGATATAGACCCGGACATAGGTATGGGTGAACTGGGCACCTGCCCAGCGCCCAGACAGAAAGGAGGCCCGAAAATGAAAAAAAAAAATTACAATTGTAAAAAATAATAATAATAATAATAATATTGTGCATACATGGGACTGGCAATGTTATTAATTGAGAATGAACTACTTAAAGCCATTGATATCATAGATGTGAAAAGACTTTTGCAACAAAAAACCCCAGTATCCCTGGAAAAGGGGGGCCCAATACTAAAAGTTTACCCAGGGCTGCCAGAAGTCTAGGTACAGTACTACTCTGACACAATAGTGCATATGTGATTAATGGTAAAACTTGGACTTCAAATGCATATGTAAATATATACTGAATTTTTGGGTGTGGAGAAAACCAAAGCTTTACAATGTTGACAGAGAGCATAAATAAGTGGATCTTGCATATACTGACCAGAATAGAAATTTCCCAAAATTTTTAGATACAAATTCATAGCTCATTCTTCTCTTTGAGTTGAAAAAAGTCTCACTGAGCTAAAACAATGGGTAACAAGCAGGAGGAACTCACCCTTCTGCTGGCTGACACCAGCCCGGACATAGTGGGGATTACGGAAACGTGGTGGGACTCATCACGTGATTGGGCGGTGAATGTCATGGGCTATAGGCTGTACAGGAGGGACAGGATAGGAAAGAGAGGTGGGGGCATGGCACTCTACATTAAGGAGGAATACACATCCTCATCCATTGGCAAGGAGTCAGGGGAGGGGCACTCTGAAGTGCTTTGGGTTTGAGTGAAAAGCAGTCGAGGGGAAAGAGACTTAACGGTGGGAGTCTACTACAGAACTCCCAACCAGGGTGAGGAGCTTGACCAGGATTTCTTGGGTCAGCTCACAGAGGTAGTGAAGGCTAAGGATGTGGTAATCATGGGGGACC